TCTCTTTCTTTCTTTCACACAGAGAAAACTATTCTCTCGCTCTCTCTATCATTTCTTTATACCATTGTCACCAGTGTCACTAAATCACCACCGTCACCATGGTTTTTCACCAATTACGTCCACCATCATTGACCACTGCCTCCTTCACCGACTATTGCCACCACTATTGTTCACCAACCATCTCCACCATTCTCTTCTATTGTCGTCAACGTCACTACAACCACCACTATAATTGTCGTCGTCATCCAACCATCACTGCCATCGTCATCGTCTATTCGTTACCGCCATTGATCTACACTCCATCGTCACGAATCCACCACCGTCATTCACCAACCACATCAACTATATCACCGATCTACACTATACGTCTCCAATCTCCACTCTATTTCTCCAATCTCCGCTCTATTGTCATCGATCTATTGATTTAGTTCTAGATCTACATCGATCTAGTTGTTTAAATAGTGAAATCGACTTCAAATGACTCCAAATAACAGTATTGTTTTTCAGATCTCACCTCTCTCTCTCTCTCTCTCTCTCTCTTTATTTTTAAAAATAGTTCTGCCGTAAATTTATTTTTTAATGATAAATTTATCAGTATCTGGTTGTGTATATGTATGTAGGATAAAAGTGTCTTGTGAGTAAGCGAGTAAAAGTATGAATGTGAATGGTGTTTGTTTGTTTTTTTCTTTTACAAATCACTTGGTGATAAATTTATCACTGAATGTATCTTTATGAATGAATCAAATTTATTTATAATTTTTTTTAAAAAAAATCGACCAGTGATAAATTTAATGAATTATTAGTGATTTTTTTAGTGATAAATTTATCACTAAATGTGTTTCTAATAAATTTATTAGATTAGTCCATATTACATATGTCTATGTGGTTTTATTTTTGTGAGTACATAAGTATATAAATAAATGGCAATGAGTGTGTGTATAACTATGAATAAGTGATTGACTGGTGGATGTGGTGGCAGTAGTGATGTAATTATGATAGGTATTACTTTTGTTGAAACAATTCAAAAAAATGACGCTAGAAATTATTGCTAGAGGTGATCACCGGTGACTGGAGTTGGTTTGCTAGCGGCGGAGGAGAGAGTTATAATAGTGTTGATAATACAGATGGAGAACGTGAATAAAGGGTATTTTAGAGATATGCCAAAAAAAGGAATGTGATTTTTAGGTAAATAGTCTCCTCAATAGAACTGGCCTGCAAGTGTTTTTTATTTTATTTTATTTATATAATTAGTAACAATGGGCTACACATTTAGATTGGCCCATAACTAAAATTTGCATGCATTGTTAATAAAACAAGTAACTTCTAACTTTTTAATGATAATGGTTGACATTATTTTTAGTCATGGGCTGGCCCGTTTCCACATCTCTAACAAATTATCAAATCCAGGCAGGCCTATATCAGCCACAAGCTCGTCCAATAAAAAAAAGGTTGAACTTGAACTTACCATATTGTATACTTCTCTTTAGATTTTGCCAAATTTCTTAGAAAGCTTCTTGCTTTAATATGGTGCTGGGCTGTGTATTTTAGTTCTTAATGTTTAAATTGTATTATTTTGATTTTTAATGTATAAAAATATTTTAATTTAGTTTTTAATATTTAAATTGTATCAATTTGATTCCCAATATATAAAGAGTTTCAATTTGATCTCCCAATCATAAACGCAATTTAAACAAGGGACCAAGTTAATCAGAAGTATAAGTTAATAATCTCTATCTACCTATTTCTCAATAATTAATTTTTTTTATAACTTATTTAAATTATTTCTACCATATAAGTTGTAAACAGAAATTACACCAAAGATTATGGTATAATTTTTAAAAAGAAAAGTTATAAGCAACTGCATAAGCTGCACAAGTAGCCAAACTTATCTCTCTATCATCTTTTTATATGTCATGCGATTGAACTGACATGGTATATTGTTTTATTCATTATTTATTTTGGTTTCTCATTTATTTATCAGATTAGGTTGGATAATATTATTAATACAGTGAGTTAGAGTGAGAGAGTTATTAGTACGTTGGTATTAGATTAAAAATATAAAATAAATTGTACATGTTTGTAGTTGATATTAAATCTATAAATATACGTAAAAGTTCTCAATATAATAAAATAGTATTCAGTGTGTTTGATTTGAGTTTTTTAGATTAATTTTTTTAGAAATTGAGTTTTTTGATTTTCGTGTTTTTTTGTTCTTAGTGAATATTTTTAAAATTTTAAACATTTTTTTTACTTTTTTTTGATGCACCTTACTTAGATATATCTAAAAAGTAAAAAATTTGTGAAAAAATATTTTTATAAATTAATAAATACATAAGAATACAAAAAATGTACTGAATTCTCGTATTTTTTTTGTATTTTTGGTATTTAGTGAATTTTTAAAAGGTTTTTTTCAAATTTTTTTTACTTTTTAAGTATATTTATGTTAGATATGTCTAAAAATTAAAAAAATTGCTCAAAATATTAAAAAAATTCAGTAAAAACAAAAAAAAAATACAAAAAATAAAAAAGTAAAATTTTTTGAAAAATGTTTTTGAAAAATGATAACCAAGCATGTTGATTGTTATTTATGCAAAGTTAGAGAATAATATTATTCATGGGATTGAACCGAAATCTTTCATGAGATTGCTAATACCCTAGTGGAGGGAGTCATATGTTAGTCCCATGCATTATTGCAAAAATAAATATTATTTATGTGATATCAATCGGATTGTTAGTTCAATTCCATCACCTTTCACTAAAACAAGACATATGTAGGTTGTTAGTTGAAACTTACTATCTTATAGACATATATAAGTTTTTAGTCGAAACTTATCTTATAAAGGCATGCGCAATGTAATTCGATATGATTTGAGAATAAAATTAAAATCAAATTATGAATAGAGGATTGACAACTTTGCTATCCATGACTACAAAGGACGGAGTCAAGATTTTAAGATAGGAAGGCCAAACATTATGTGTATCTAACTCCAGCTATATTTACATTTTTATAGATTCTAATTTGAAAATTACAACATATTAAAATATGTCAAATAGTCAACATTAACAAAGAAAAAAAAAAAAAAAAAGGCAAAAATCGACAAATCAAAACTAAATAGTTTTTTTTTCCTCTTCAATCACATCTATCAAAATTGAACTTGACGTTCTTTTTTTAATCAAGGAATTCATCTACGATTGAATTTGTACTAATTATTTAACAATTTTCTTTTCAATTTACTGAATTAGTTATTGCCTTCCATAGTCTTCTCACTTGTTTATATTTATTTCATAAAAAACAAATAATATTTTATTAAACAATATGCATAGGTTATGGCAAACACATGGCTACCTTTGGCGATAGTGTGGCTACGTTCTTATTAGTTGATTGTATAATAATCTTAAATAATTATGAAGTATTTTTACAATATTCAATATTAATTTATATAATATTATATAATATTATATATATATATATGACACTAGCTGATTTTGTATAGTATTTTCATATGTATAATACTAATTTGCATCAAATTTTACATTTCATATTGATTCTTTATTTAATATTAGAAGTGAAAAAAAAAAAAAAGTAAAGAAGATTGGTGAAAAGTTTAATTTAGAAAGGGTATAAGGCAAATACAAGGTAAAATCTTATTTGATAATAAAAATATGTTAAAAAAGTTGCCAGCGCCCTAAATATCAACACCGGTGATGACCGATGACTGGAGGTCGGCGACAACGAGTGACTGTGGTAATGAGTTAGAGATATATATGATATTCAACAGATATGATGTTGAATGAGTGACATATATCACAAACAGATAAATAGTTTGTTGAATTTCAACAAATAGAAAAATAGGCTTGGTGATCTCAACATATAATTGTTGTTTTGGACAAATTATATCATTTTGGCCCAAAGAAATTAGAATGAGAGCCTAATAGCCCAAAAGATTAAAAAATAGACTTATGGCATGAGTGCCTCAAAAAATGTCTTAACTAAGGTTGTGCAAAATATCGCTCAATTCGTTGAAACCGCACCGATCAGCATCAATACACACAACTCTATTTTCTAACCGCGATTTAAACTTTAAAATTTATAATCCGCCTTCGAAACCAGTCTACTCTGCTATAGTTAATACATATATTATATTTTTAATCTATAATGAAATATCAAAGTATAAAAATGAGTGTGATAGATTTAATATGTGAAATTTATTACAAATTAGTATTTATATATATGAAATGTAAAATTAGTTTATGTTACATATATATAAATTTTTTATACAAATTAGTGTAATATATTATGTAAAGATTTGATAATTGGTCAGAATATTGTTTAATCAGACAATCCGATCAAAATTGTTCAAATTGCAATTAGTCAATCCGCTAATCTGTTATTCTATTATGATTTTACTTTCAAATTGTCCAAATTATACCGCGCACATCCCTAATATTAACTATGATAAGGCGGAGCATTTTAAAATAAATTATAAATTTTAAAATAGGAATTAAACCAGCTCATGATTAGCAAGCCAATTGATGTGAATTAAACAATTTCAAAAATTGAGCGACGTTTTACGCAATTAATTAAAACAAACGGGCCAAAATGTCAAGGTGGAAGATGTTCGACCAAATCATAGAATTTCTTTATGTACATGGAAGGAGTGTTATATACATTTTATAATTAAAAATAATAATAATATAATTTTATATTTTTTAAATTATAACTTAATTTTTTTTTATTGACATAATTAAAATTTCATAAATTATAATTAAAAAAAATAACATAATTAGGTCAAGTTTGGCTACAAAGAAAAAAGTGCACTTATTTCATCTTTTTATCTTTTTTAGGTCACATCAATCAACATCTCCTCTCTACTTTTTTTTACACATAATACAAAAAAATTAAAAAATATATTTATTTAATCTTTCCAAACTAAGCCTTAATAGTAAATAAAAAACCATGTGTGTATTAGAATTTCCCTGTATAAATTTTGCAGGGCAAAAAAGTGTTCGATTCCAACTGCAAGTAACAACCAAACTCTCCTCAACTAGTACATTCACAGAGAGAGAGAGAGAGAAACAGAGCAATACAACACAGAAGACGAAGGAGCAAAAACGGGTCGGGTCCAATCTCACCTGAGATCGAATGACGGATCCGACTATGGAGCTGTTGCAGGAGTCGGGTTGGGAGGAATTGAGGAAGGAGGCTCGCAAGATCGAGGGCGATCTCGACGTCAAGCTCTCTTCTTACGCCAAGCTCGGCTCTAGGTTCTCCCATGGAGGTTCCCTTCTCTCTCTCTCTTGCTACATTTACATTCATATGTATCTATTTATACATCTTTGATTCTCAGATCTTGCTCTGCCTTATGAATTCAGTTTGCAACCCTATAATTTGAATTGAAATTGCAATTTTCATTTGACATTGTTTTGATTGATTCTAGATCTTAGTGAATTGCGGATTTCGAATACCCGTGCTTATGAATTTGCAATTGGAATTGTTTTTGTTAATTATTGTGTGACTTGCATTGTTTGTGAGCCAAATGTAATTGTGTTTTTTCTATTTAAATTGCATTTGTTTGATGTTTGGCTTTTAAAGCATTATGTAGGGAACTAAAATGGGCAGTGAAATTGCCAATGGTTAATTGAAATCAAAATTACATGTCGACTAGTTGGAATTGTTGTGTGGTTTTTTGCGGTATTTGTTGTGAGGAAATGTACTACTAAAGGGAAATGATTGTGTGAGAAACTTTCACTTTGAATCAGCTGCAGAAAAATTGTAGAATTGGAAAAAGTTTATGCAAATTGGGAAATTTTTTATTGTTAAACTTGACATTTTTGCTTGAAATGGTGGAAACTATTCAAATCCCATTAATAAATTCATGGGTTACCAAGAGTTTATCCAAGAAAAAAATAAAATGGTACCAAGAAACCCTCAACCAAGTTTCCTACTTCCACTCAAAATGAACGAATTTTTATTTCTGTTTTTATAATTTCAATGAGAAAAATTATAATTTAAATTGTAAAGTGATGGGTCATTTTTCACACCAAAAATAAATATTAAAAATCAAGAAGAAACTACTACTCCTTAGAATAGTGGTTAAGACCACGTATCGTTCCAACATGGACAAAGTGGCTAAGTGTACATTATTTCAGAATAATTCCTAAATTAATTCAACAAAGATTCATATGCTGATAACTAATTAAAAACTAACGATAAACAAAAGCAATATAATTGAGTTGAGATATGGAAGCGATAATCTTAAGGTTGTTGAATTCACCACCAATCTCCCAATTAGGGTTTATTGATTCACTGCATGAAAAATCACTATTATGATGATAATAATGTATTGTGGCTACAAGCCCCAATAACATCTTCCAGAATATTCATATATTCAAATCACGGGCATGAATCATCATTGGTTAGCACAAAGCGTCTACGCTAAACTTCAGTCATAGGCACGCCTTGTCTTCCTTGGGTATGACTTATTTTGACGATTTCAATATATGTGGAGAAATACCATTGTATAACTATGTATTTAAAATCACATAAATTAAATACATACGAATTTGAATAAAGAACATGTTTGCATTGAAAATCTATAAATGTTATACAATCATCATTATAATAAATCAAATCCATGAAGAAAATACAAAACCCTAATTACTTGTTTGGGGTTTCATGAAATCCTAAGATGGAGAGTCTGGTCGCTCATGGTAGAGGAACCCAAAACTTCAGTTGAATCTCCATGAATAGCTCTTTGGATCTCCTTCACTTTCTTTTCTCTTGTGCCTCCTCAATACTTGAGGCCCCCAAAAAAATTTCCCTCAAAAGAAGCCACTAGTTTCCCCTTTTTATGTGTTGAACACAACCCTAAAAATAGGAAAAATTTGGAATAGGTTGTGCTCTAGCACGTAGCCTCAGTGATCGAGCACACAAACATAGAATCTATTTCTCTTTAGCAACTTAAGCGCTCAAGCACTCAGGCTCTGTGCTCAAGCACAAAAAGGGAGACATGTTCGCTCTTTTGAACTTTCTAAACTTCATTTCCTCGGCTTGATTTGGGCTTCAATTGTATGTTTCATCAAGCTTTCAAAATCTCCAAATTAATAGCATTTTAGCATCATGAGCTTAAACACCTACAAAAAGTAAAAATGCATTAGATTACATCAAGTAACTAGATTTGAAGACTTAACAAATGTACTTTAAGGGGCTTAAATGAAAACATTAAAGCACTTATCATAAAGTCACTCACAAATTGGAATTGGTCAAATCAACAACATACAGAATGCTCTTCATAAGTAATATGCTTATTCCATAATAAGTAACTTATTGTTCTAAAATTGTAAGCTGTTAGAAAATGAGCCAAACAATATGTGCCAAGCTGAATAACACTCCTCATGTGCGATGCTCTCATACACATGGCGAGACAAGCAGACTTAACTAAGCAAGGTGCATAAACATGTAGAATGTAGTGTACAGAGTGTGCAAACAGCGATAGCAAGAGTTGAATGAAAAATTTCCTGGAACCAGAGTTTTGGTACCATGTTAAGTTACATAAACTCAACAATTTATATCATGCAGTTTAACAGCCATTTAAATTCATAGTATTTTATGGACAATTCATTATATATTGCTTATGCTTTATTCCTACTATATATTTGTTTTGTTACTTTTGTTTATGCATACCTAGTCTTTTTCTTTTATGACATTTTCTTCGTACAAATTTTTAAAAAAGCATATATTATATGATGCACAATACAAAAAAAAAGAGTTAATATTGTATCACCAAGTTGACTACCTGGAGTATTGTCAAATTGGTGACACAGAATGAAGTCCAAAATCTAATCTAAGAATAAGAGGTTTTGTTTCTTGAATCTTTATATGCCAGTGCTCCAAAATGATGCTACCTTATTAGCACAAGACTCCTCCGCATTGTCCCCTTTTCTCACATCCTAAAAATCCATGGAACTCTGCTTTCCAAAGGGACTGGACAGAAGCTGGGGGGACTACTATCCAAAGAACTCACCCTTGCTCGGGCCAAACTCTTTCATCTGAACCAGTTATAACATGGCTCAGCCAAACCTTGTCATAAATAATGATATGAATTTGATAACAGTTCTAAATGTGAGTTCTGTTGTGTGAAGATGTAAGCATAACTTTCATTTTTCATCAACAGAAACTAAATTTATGCTTATGCTGCTTTTTATTCAACTCACGGGATCTCCTACTAGAGGATGGTTAGATTGTTGACTTGAAGATAAATTTTGGTTTCTGCATTTAACTTCAATTGAATTTATATATCAACTGCAGTTAATCATATTATTATGTAAATATAGAGTTTATGAGTTATTACTGGGTTTTACAGTCCCCAGGTTTGGATGCTGAATAGTTTCGCTCAAATGTTTGCCTGTCTGATGATCCTATATGTGGGTCCAGGTTACGTGGATAGTGGGTCACCAACAACTGTTGGTTCCAGCAGGTCATGGAAGTCTATGGAAATGGAAATTCAATCATTGCTTGAGAAATTATTGGATATAAATGATGCTATGAGTCGATGTGCTGCATCTGCTACTCCTACTACTTCAGTTACCCAAAAGCTTGCAAGGCATAGAGACATACTTCATGAATTTACCCAGGTTTCTTTTATTCCACTTAGGAATTCTATGGAGTACTCTTTATATGTTGTGTAGCTCATGTTGTGAAGCATGCCATTTATGCAGTTATCTATTTTGAACCTTCCGCGAAGATCTGTTTATTCCTAATATTGAATTGTCTCAGAATAAATTTCAATTTACATCTATTGGCCATAATGGGAGGCTCTACTGAAGCAATTAATGCTTTCGTAATCTACAGACTTTCATTCATTTCTTTGTCTCTGTTAATTAGGCAATGACCATTCCTTATGATTTATAGACTGCTTTGATAGCAGATTACTTGAGAGTCTCTTACTCTGGGATGGTATGGGCACCCCCTTTTATTATATCTTGTTAAAAATGATATATTATTGATTGATATCTGATGTGTTGTATATATTACAAGTACAAGGATTCCTATTATATAGGAGAGGATTTGGGAGTAGGTGAGGAGTAGGTGGAGGGTAGGTGAAGGTAGTAGGTGAGGAGTAATAGGTGATGGTAAGTGTATGGTAGGTGATGGTAAATTCTAACAGCCCCCCGCAAACTCAAGGAGGATAGAAACTAACCAACTTGAGTTTGAAGAGAGGAACAAAACAAGAAAATACATAAAAATAAAAAAAAGATAAGAGACACTGTATGGTCGTGTCAGACCATTGGTGAAGACACTGGATGGTGGTGTCATAACGTTGTAAAGGACACTGTATGGGGGTGTCATAACCATGTAGAGGACACTGTATGGTGGTGTCATAACGGTGTAGAGGACACTGGATGGCGGTGTCAGACCGATGTAGAAGACAGTTTATGGGGTCATGTCGGACCGATGTAGAAGACAGTTTACGGGGTCATGTCGGACCGTTGTAACAGACACTGTTGTGACAGTTGTTGTGACAGTTTACGGAGTCTTGCTGGACCCTTGTAGAAACTAACCGGAATCAATGTCGGGACAGTTTACAGAGTCTTGTCAGACCCATAAAGGAGCTAACCGGAATCAATGTCGGGACAGTTTACAAAGTCTTGTCGGACCCATGAAAGAGCTAACCGGAATAGCATGCAATACAAAGCTCAAAAAGCACAAACACCTTCAAATAGTCCTAAAACAGCCTAGAAGGAGTCCTAAAACATGTTGGAATTGAGCTAGAAATAGCTAGAATAACAGGCCTAAACATAGCACAAGCCAGACTAGTAAGCACAATTGCATTACAAGCATACAAAGCAAGCCTCGACACCGCCATCCAGTGTCCTCTACACCGTTATGACACCACCATACAGTGTCCTCTACAACGTTATGACACCCCCATACAGTGTCCTCTACAACGTTATGACACCCCCATACAGTGTCCTCTACAACGTTATGACACCCCCATACAGTGTCCTCTACAACGTTATGACACCCCCATACAGTGTCCTCTACAACGTTATGACACCCCCATACAGTGTCCTCTACAACGTTATGACACCCCCATACAGTGTCCTCTACAACGTTATGACACCCCCATACAGTGTCCTCTACAACGTTATGACACCCCCATACAGTGTCCTCTACAACGTTATGACACCCCCATACAGTGTCCTCTACAACGTTATGACACCCCCATACAGTGTCCTCTACAACGTTATGACACCCCCATACAGTGTCCTCTACAACGTTATGACACCCCCATACAGTGTCCTCTACAACGTTATGACACCCCCATACAGTGTCCTCTACAACGTTATGACACCCCCATACAGTGTCCTCTACAACGTTATGACACCCCCATACAGTGTCCTCTACAACGTTATGACACCCCCATACAGTGTCCTCTACAACGTTATGACACCCCCATACAGTGTCCTCTACAACGTTATGACACCCCCATACAGTGTCCTCTACAACGTTATGACACCCCCATACAGTGTCCTCTACAACGTTATGACACCCCCATACAGTGTCCTCTACAACGTTATGACACCCCCATACAGTGTCCTCTACAACGTTATGACACCCCCATACAGTGTCCTCTACAACGTTATGACACCCCCATACAGTGTCCTCTACAACGTTATGACACCCCCATACAGTGTCCTCTACAACGTTATGACACCCCCATACAGTGTCCTCTACAACGTTATGACACCCCCATACAGTGTCCTCTACAACGTTATGACACCCCCATACAGTGTCCTCTACAACGTTATGACACCACCATACAGTGTCCTCTACAACGTTATGACACCACCATCCAGTGTCTTCACCAATGGTCTGACACGACCATACAGTGTCTCTTATCTTTTTTTTATTTTTATGTATTTTCTTGTTTTGTTACTCTCTCCAAACTCAAGTTGGTTAGTTCCTATCCCCTTTGAGTTTGCGGGGGGCTGTTAAAACGTATCACCTACTTCACCCACTTAAACCTACTCTACTAAACCTAACCCACTACACCACTACCACCTCCACTTCACCTACTCCTTACCTACTACACACTCACCCTCTTCTATATATAGGAATCATGAATCATTGTAATAAATATCAATATAAATCAATCAATAATACAATTCTCTATTTCTCTTTATACATTCAATTTCAACAAATAATGATATGAATTTGATAACAGTTCTAAATGTGAGTCCTGTTGTGCGAAGATGTAAGCATAACTTTCATTTTTCATCAACAGAAACTAAATTTATGTTTATGCTGCTTTTTATTCAACTCACAGGATCTCCTACTAGAGGATGGTTAGATTGTTGACTTGAAGATAAATTTTGGTTTCCGCATTTAACTTCAATTGAATTTATATATCAACTGCAGTTAATCATATTATTATGTAAATATAGAGTTTATGAGTTATTACTGGGTTTTACAGTCCCCAGGTTTGGATGCTGAATAGTTTCGCTCAAATGTTTGCCTGTCTGATGATCCTATATGTGGGTCCAGGTTACGTGGATAGTGGGTCACCAACAACTGTTGGTTCCAGCAGGTCATGGAAGTCTATGGAAATGGAAATTCAATCATTGCTTGAGAAATTATTGGATATAAATGATGCTATGAGTCGATGTGCTGCATCTGCTACTCCTACTACTTCAGTTACCCAAAAGCTTGCAAGGCATAGAGACATACTTCATGAATTTACCCAGGTTTCTTTTATTCCACTTAGGAATTCTATGGAGTACTCTTTATATGTTGTGTAGCTCATGTTGTGAAGCATGCCATTTATGCAGTTATCTATTTTGAACCTTCCGCGAAGATCTGTTTATTCCTAATATTGAATTGTCTCAGAATAAATTTCAATTTACATCTATTGGCCATAATGGGAGGCTCTACTGAAGCAATTAATGCTTTCGTAATCTACAGACTTTCATTCATTTCTTTGTCTCTGTTAATTAGGCAATGACCATTCCTTATGATTTATAGACTGCTTTGATAGCGGATTACTTGAAAGTCTCTTACTCTGGGATGGTATGGGCACCCCCTTTTATTATATCTCTTCAAGATTAGGAATTAGAGGCAATGTGCAAGTTCTTTGAACTGGGAAGATCTTGATGTAAACAGCAGCTGAGTTAGTTTAAAAATTTCACCTGTCTAAAGCCTGTATCATAGCAGTGGGGGAGGTTTTCTGGTTGACTTGCTTTTTACCATCTAGAGCTTGAAGTGAACAACAGTTATCTGAGCTCAGAGGGAAGCTTATTTGGCCCTCAAACGTGGCAATACATCTGTCTTACACCTACCAGTTCTGAGCTACACCTGCCAAAGTATTTTTCTGACTAAGCTGCTTCTGAGCAATATGGCCATTTGCTTTTATTAACATTTTGATCTGAGTTATCTTTTTTGAATAATTTTCTCTGATTAAGAAAAACAATGTGATGGCTTGTTTGAGTAGAGAATTGGATATAAAACTCAAGTTGATGGTATTCCTTTGGCTTGTTCTTCATTCTTGAGCTCAGCTCATAAATAAATGGTCCTAATTATTAATAGAATGCTTTGATAGCAGATTACTTGAGAATCTCTTATTCCTGGAAGGTGTGGGAACCTCTTCAAGATTGGGAATTGAAGGCAATGGCAATGGACAAGTTTTTTGAACTGGGTGGACCTTGACATAAATGGCAGCTGAGTTAGTTCAAAAGTTTCACACATTATGTTCCATCTTAGATCATGTAAGTCCAAAGCTTGCATCATAGCAGTTGGGGAGCTTACCTGGTTGACCTACTTTTTACCATCTAGAGCTTGAAGTGAGCAGCAGTTATCCGAGCTCAGAGGAACTTATTTGGTCTTTCATCCCAGCACTACATCCATGTTAGCCCTAGGTGTTCCTAGCTACACCTGCAAAAGTATTTTTGAGATTACGCTGCTTCTGAGCAGTATAGTCATTTGCTTTCATGAACATTTTGCTCCCAGTTCTTTTCTTTAAGTAATTTCCTTCTATTAATAAGTAAAAAATGTGATGGCTTGTTAGAGTAGAGAATTGGACATGAAACACAAATTGAAAGAACATTACCCAGTGCTGGTCCTTGTTCATTGAGGGTTCTGGATTGGGTAAAAGACTGAAGACAAACTTAACTTTCGGTACTATTTTCACGATCCAATGCTCCTAAAATCTCGTGGTTTATAAAAATTGGTTGGTACATTTTCACAATCTTGATGTGGGTTGTAATTAGGTTTCCTAAAGACATTTGATATGAAAGTTCACATTTTCGCATTTTCGCATTTTCTTTCCCCTCCCTAACACACATTAATGTGTACTAATTGGGCGTTGTTTATTTTTGTGGTGAAGTCCTGGTCTAGAAGTGTGTAAGTTATCTTTAGATTACGAGTTCAGCAAATAAGTAATAAAAAAATTTCTCCTCAGTGACACACTAAATACGAATGGTAATGTTGGGAAAATGATTAAAAATTGATTAGATATTAATCAATGGTAATGTTGAGTCTTACAATAAATGCAAGTGTATTTCTGAGCTATAAAAATAATTCTGATCTATGCTGTCATACTAACTAATCCGATGCATAGTACTTTTGTCTTTGGAGAGCATAAATCTTTTGTATTATATCTATTATTGATAATGTCCTAGTGGATTGGATGTGTTTAAGTTCCTCATTATTAAAATTTAACCTTCTTAAACAGCTGGAGAGTACTGATGTTTAGATGTGTAAACTAAATGTTGTAATGTTCTAGGATATCTCTTGGATTGAAAGATCATGTTTAATGGCTTTTGCTTCTGTAAAACAACAATGGGGAAGGAAATATTTCATTCCTGCTTTAAAAGGCTAAATTTTATATCTAGTCTGTGACACTTTATATTAATGTTCAAACCATCTTAGGTTCTTAAATTACAATTTTTTTCCCACTACATTAGTTATTTTTCAAAGATTATTTTGCACATCTTATTTATCTCTCAAGATTATATCTATTTATTGTTTTTTGAGTATTAGGACGCTAGTTCTATCTTGGTGCATTTTGTCAAACAGACTGCAAATTTTGCTTAGTAGACAACCCTATTGTGTTGCTTGTTTCCTAGACATGAACCTTCTATTACTACTGTAGTAGACACTGTATCGTCTTTGTTAAATATTTGATTTATGCCTTCTGGCCATTGACTGAGTGTCATGTGCTTCTTTTAGGAATTCAAACGAACAAAGGGAAACATTAACTCGATGAGAGAACATGCAGAGCTTCTCAGTTCTGTCAGAGAAGATATTAGTGAGTACAAGGTGAGAAAGATTGAAGTACTAACTTTTAATTCTTACGTCTACTTTCATTGTTTCATGAAGCTAAGCTCTACATAATGCAGGCATCTGGGAGTATGTCACCAAGAGTGCAGTTACTACGGGAGAGAGCTTCCATACATGGGAGCATAAGTCATGTAAGACTTCACGGATCCTTGATAGTAGTATAGTATGTCATATATATAATGTATTAAGATAGAACCAAGTTTGTTCTTCACTTGGTCTTCACATTCTTGAGTTCACAAAATATCCTTCTTTTTAAGATGAATTCAACAGAGTTAGTTAAAGGTCATAATTGTGATGTACTTTTCTGTTTGTCTCTCCTTATCCCTTTCCACTATCTTCTCTGATTTCTCTCTCTCCACCCAACTTGCACATCTACATGAGGTATGATCATGTGCATCTTGTGTGCAGACGTAGTATACTTTAACCAACAATATTCCGTCATATATTTGGTTAGAATATGTTCCGACTCCAACCCAATATACCATTATTAGTAGACTTAAGTTATGATGCAACTTTTGTACATTTTCTAAGCTGCAACCAATGGATTCTTAAACCCCTTTTTATTTTTGTTATCATGTAAAGCCTGCTATGTTTTGGTTCAGACAGGGTGCTTAATCAAACTTGAGTTTAGATTTGAGTTGGAACTTCCTGCCTAGCTCGAGAAATGTATAAAAAAAAATTGCAGCATTCACTGATATTTGGGTAAATGGAACTATCAATTGATATGTGCAGACCATCCATAATCGGCAAGCTTATTATCAATTTGAAAAGGTTTGGATTTGTACACTCACTGACATTTATTGCCATACCCCATGTCCAACCTGACATAATGTTGTTTCAGTAATGTTATATATATATATGTGTGTGTGTGTGTGTGTGTGTGTGTGTGTGTGTATAATATATGTATATTTATCATAAAATGAAGGCCTTGGTACACTTGGAAACTAAGCAATTCTAATTTATGTTTCTTGTATAAAATGGAGAACGGACATATCTATAAATGAGCTGAAGGTCAGCGGCGCTTTAATTTGTAAGTCGAAGTTCAGTTACTTTTTCTGTTGAAAAAAATGCGTAAAAAATAAAATAAAATTTCATATTAATAGTAAACTGTAAATGGTCTTAAAAATGCAGGGAGAAATTCTAGGAAATGATCTACAGGAAGGTAGGGAACCTTTTTCCTTGGTCCTTGAAAGCCACCCACACTAATCAAAAGCTAGTATTATTCTTGTGGTTCTTGTAAGTAGCCGTACTGATTAAATAAACAGAGGGCTGGATTTTAGAATTAATTTATTGATCAATTATGACCTTCAATTTTATAATTTTCTAAATTTTACTCTTAATTAGAAGTATTTTTTCCTGCATTTATTTTTGTTTGGGGGTTGCTATAAATACAAGGCCTGATCTACTATAAACTGGGCTTCGTTTCTGAAGAATATTGAAATTATTTCTCTCTGTCTCTCTCTCTCTCTCTCTCTCATGCGCGCGCACACACACACACTACTCCATTCTCTTCTGTTTTACTCTTTCTTCCAAGTTCTATCTATTCTTGCTGTAGTTGTTGTCTGCTATCTACTCTTTCTTCTCATGATCATGATCTTCATCAAGCATTGTTTTATTTAAGAAGTTGCTTAAAATCCTGATTTTCACAGTTGTTTTCTGCTATGAGGAAAATATTTTTTAGGGTTAAATTCATTTTACCCCTTGTGGTTTGAGGCTGGAGCACTTTACCCCTCTATAGTTCAAATATGGTCAGAAAACTTTTATGTAATTTTGGACTAAAGTGTCAACCATTAGTTTTTCCATCAAAACTAATAGAAGGTGTATCACACACATCATTTTTCAGAATAGGTTTGGTTTTCTAAAAAAATAAAGTGAAATTAACACAAAAAGACAATTTTACTTCCATTTTCCTCAAACCTTAAATGAGATTAATATGTTAATTAAAATAAAATAAAATATAATATAATTAAGGATTGATTTAAAATAAAATTAAATAAAATTTAAAATAAATAATACTTAAGAATTGATCTAAAATATAATTAAATTAAAATTAGATTAATGTGTTAGGAATTACAATAAATAATTAAGAATTTAGGATGATCTAAAATATAATTAGATTAAAAAGTTAGGAATTACAATAAATAACTAAGAATTTAGGATTAATTGTGATCTAAAATATAATTAAATAAAAATTAATATAATTAAGGATTGATTTAAAATAAAATTAAATAAAATTTAAAATAAATAATACTTAAGAATTGATCTAAAATATAATTAAATTAAAATTAGATTAATGTGTTAGGAATTACAATAAATAATTACGAATTTAGGATTAATTGTGATCTAAAATATAATTAGATTAAAAAGTTAGGAATTACAATAAATAACTAAGAATTTAGGATAAATTGTGATCTAAAATATAATTAAATAAAAATTAGAATAAAAGTTAAGAATTACAATAAATAATTAAGAATTTATGATTAATTGTGATTTAATTGGATTAATATCATAAAATACGTGTATGAGATAGGAGAGAAAAAGAAAATAACAAAAAAGGTATAGGGCTTGAGAGTATTATAGTCATTTAATATCTATAGTTAACGATGTTAACGGTTGCACTTTGGTCAAAAACCACATGTGGGCTTTGTGACTATATTTGAACCATAAGGGGTAAAGTGCTCTAGCCGCAAACCATAGAGGGTAAAATGAATTTTGTCCTATATTTTGTTCTATCTTTTTGACATACAAAAAGTAAGCAATCGGGCATAAAGTGCAAATTCTTTAATTTTTGGTTTGATCATATTGTGATTGCATTGTCAAAAATCAGTGATATGTCTGCAGCGAGAGTGTGAGACCTGTTTGATTAACCTGCACTTGCAGCAATTTGGTCTTTGTATTTTGTTTCACGGAGAAAACTTAATGCACGTATGCATATTGAATAAATTTAAGGAAAGCCTTAACTCTGGTGTTACAAATTATTCTTTGAGATAATATGTTGTTGCTTAACAAAATGTTTGAAATCTCTGCAAAATAACAATTTTAGATTACTCGAGTTCAACTGTCAGTCTGTAACCATAATATCATGCCTGGAAAAATGGCTCGGATAGAGAGTTTACCACATTTTTTCGCTGGCCATCTAGAGATGGTTTTGGAAATAACAATTTATATCAGAGGGAGGAATGTACAAAAATAGAGGTTACAAAGAATGGGGTCTATGTCCTGCAAATCTGGATTAATATCTGAGAGTCAGTCTGGAGAAAGGTCAATTCTGGCTAGCCAGCAGGTAGAGAAACATAGAATTGAATTTTTTTTCTCGCACCACATTTTCTTAAATTGTCTGTTGTAGATTCTTCGAGGTCCTTCAAAGCTTGTTCTTGAACATAATAAAATCAAATAAATTGCATTTTTTATTTGTTCACTGTAACTCTACCTTCTCTTAGGTGTAGTGTACTCATCTCTCATTTGCTTTCTTTATACTCCAGGTTGTACCGTGCTAATTTTGTTCACCTTATTCTTGCTTAATAGCTTTGGTTTGTAGTATATAAACCTATTCATTTCTAATTAAAATTTCCCAATTCGTTAATCTTTAGGATTTGGTTGCATTGCTTATGTCTGGTTGTTCCTTCTGTCGTCGAAGTAGTCAGTAGAAAACTACAATAAAAATTTTCTACATTTAAGTCACCAGTCGATACTTCCTGAAAACCACCCTTACCCTGCTTCCATTAGTGGACAAGTATATAAAGAAATTCAAGTTTACAAAGTAAAACCAATCCGTCAATAGCTTGCTTTTGAATATGCAATTGCAAGATTTATGAAATTTTATGCTGGACAATTTTCTTTGGGAGAGCCAGTTTCTCTTTTTGTTTCATATGAATTGAATTTCAAGAAAGCCAAACTCTTTTAACTGGTCCCTTCCAAGGATGCGGCTATGTGAAAGGAAACTCCTGGTTTCCAACGATGCCTAAATGGCTGTGATTATCTGCAGTGAAAGGTTGAAGAAAATGCAAGAGTGATCAATACAATACACTCTTTTATCAAATATCAATACATCATGGTACCATTGCATAGTATGATGTTATATTATCATGCTTTAAGCCTTGTTCAGTAATGCATGGCTGGAGTTGCTTTAGTTTTTGTTGATATTATCATTGTCCTTGTTGGAATTTAAGCAAAATTGAAAAATGAAAAAGAAGAGAGCAAAAAACAAAAAAGAAAAGAAGCTTGAATGTCCAATTGCTCTCTGGAGTTTTCTTTGGAGGGGGGCTTGCTTGTTGAAATTTAAGCAACATAGAAAAATAAAAAAGAAGAGAGCAAAAAAGGCTTTAATTTTCAGTTGCTCTCTGAAGTTCTCTTTAGAATGGGCTTCGATTATTTACTAAACTTCTTGAATATAAAATCTTTTGTAATCTTTGCAAGAAGATTCTTTGATCTAATTCACGACTTTGTTTTTGGTTAAAAATTATGCAGATAGATGATGTTATCAGTCAGGCTCAATCAACAAGGGCAGCCTTAGGGTCACAAAGAGCTTTCTTTGGCAACGTTGAGGGTAAAGTGAAGCTGCTAAGCGACAAGTTTCCTATCATTCGTGGTCTACTCGGTACTTTCTTGGAACTCATCTATCGTACCCAATTTGCTCCTTTCAATTTTCTCTTCACTTATCTTGTTGCTGATCTTTTCAGGTTCCATTAGAAGAAAGAAATCAAGAGACACTCTCATCCTATCTGCCGTCATTGCAGCTTGTACATTGTTTCTTATTATCTATTGGCTTTCAAAATAACTTAATATGTTGTTTATAGTTATTTAAAAAAAATAAATAAATAAAATCAGAAAGACTTCTTGTCAAGAACAAATCAAAATCCGCTGTTTAAAATCTCGCAGTACCTTTTTCATGGTGCCATTACTCGACAAACTTCATTCTGCTTCTGATGCAGTTTTTGTCTTCCAAACTTAGTATTGACAATTTGATATTGCATAGTGAAATTGAGGCTAGAAAAATGTTTCACCTGTAAAATGGCGCGCCTAATTGAAATTATGATGCATACATGTGATTTCATATGGTATTGTTTTCTTTGCTATGATGTCACTTGTTATAGCTCCATTCATGTCTTCACCTTCTTGTGGTCCATGGAGCTTGGCTGTGAGCTTAACTTAGAGCTGGTCCAACATTGTTTCCATCATGATTTGCAACATGCTAGTACTAGTTTGTTTTGTTTTGTTTTTTTTTTTTTGGCCCTTTATGTTTTGGTTCTTGGGTTTGTGGAGAGAAAAGAAAACAAAAGGAAAAATACATTTTCTCCAAACTTAACCTTACAGAAACACAACTAGACAATAAATTTCCCTGACCTGGCGTTTGCGGCATGTTATTAGTGTAGAATGAAATAGATATTTTTCTCGTGATCTTTAGGCTCGTCAGAAAAGGAAGGAAAATAACTGGTAGACGGATAGGAAAGCCTAATTATTTTCCATACCTTTGGTTATGGGAGAAAATGGAGAGCTAAGAACAAAATTCCCTTGTTTTCTTTGTCTAATGGCACCATTTTTTATGCCATAAAATGAATGAAATGTTAGCAAAGGCTATATGCAATACGAAATTAAATCTCAAAAGAAAGAGGAGATAAAATATGGATCTTGTTAATTAATAATAAGCTTTACTCACTTTCACTGGCATGGAGAATGTTGAACGAAAGTATACATAATTGTAATTTTTTTTAGTTTTGACTTTTCAAAAATAGTTTTTTAAATTTTTAATAATTTTTAAAATTATTTTAACCATTTTTTTAAAAAATTTTTTTTAGATCCACTTAATCTTAATATACTTAAAAGTAAAAAATTTGTACAAAAATATTTTAAAAAAATTATTGAATATAACAAAATACAAAAATGTATTGAATTTTCATATATTTTAATTTTTTGTATTTGGTGAATTTTTTAAAGTTTTTTTTTTGACAAATATTATATTTTTTAAACATATTTAGATTAAGTGTTTCTAAAAAATAAAAATAAAAATTGTGTAAAATATTAAAAAAATACTAAAAATGTAAAAAAAAAAAAATACGGAAAACAAAAAATCAATTTTCTAAAAATTGGACTTAATTTTCTGGAACCAAAAATAGTAATAAATTTGATATTCTCTTTTATGTGGACAAAAATATCACATCCTTGAGTATGAAATTGATGGTAAGCTTTTTAACTATTGTAAGTCATGTTTGTTGGCTCTATGAGTAAGGAAATTGAATTAATAGTGAGGAAGAACCACACATAGAGTGTTTGGTTGTGGTGGGATTAATATTCCAAAAGACTAGCAATCCCCCTCCATGGTTGGACTAGCATAGAAGGAAAATACATTGGAGTAGAAATTTAGGGGTGGTTTGGCATAACTTATTTTAGTTAATTTTTATATCTTTTTAGGGTCACATCAATCAACATCTCTTCTCTATTTTTTTACACATCTTTCTATAAAAAGTCAAAAAATACACTTATTTAGGGCATTCCAAACCACCCCTTAATTATGGGATTAATGGTTACAAGACCATTATGTCCCTTGTCCTACATCAAATAGAAGATTAGAAGAGTAGAAGGGGATATGGAATTTTAAATGATTTTTACACAAAATCTAATTTTTTTTAAGTGTCTAAATTAAAGGGGCATTTACCAATTAATCCTATTAACTAGACTTATTTACCTACATGTCCTAACTGATAAGTTTATCACTATAAAAACACGAGACTATTAAGTTTATCACTATAAATTTATTCATAAAAACAAAGACACTGATAAATTTATCACTATAATTTATTTATAAAAATAAGAGTCTGATAAATTTATCAATAGGATTTAATGGGTAATAAGTTTCAAAAGTAGGACCTATTGGTAATTTTCCCTAAATTAAGTTAATTTAAAATGTACCAAAAAAAATTATAATATTAAAAAAAATACTAAAAATTTTAAAATATTAATTTTATATAATAATAATAATAATAATAATAATAATAATGTGCTATAAGAGAATATGTATGCACCTCTACTATCACCTTAGGGTTTTAGTAAGATCGACAAGCACTTCTTGAAATGGTATCAGAGCCAGTTCTGGTCAAGGGTTCAAGTTTCACTGAGGTAATATCCCCCTTGGGATTAAGGGGGGCAAATTCCCATGGAAGGCCGGGCCCAAATACCTAACTGGCCCACTCATCACACGAGGGAGGCAATGTGCTATAAGAGAATATGTATGAGCCTCTACTATCACCTTAGGGTTTTAGTAGGATTGACAAGTACTTGGCTTTGAAACAATTTGGACAGGAAATAAATGAAAAGCATGAATCACAAACAACAAAATCAGTTAATATAACACATACATACAACTTGGCTTTGATACCAAAAGGCGGAAACAACACATAAAATAAAAACTTAAAACGGAGAACTTACAATTGTGTATTGATAACTAGAAAACAGTTCTTCAAAATAACTTGAAAATAATTTTCGGGATAATAAATTATAGAGCTAGCTATTTGTTTAAGGTACTATAACTCTCAATTCTAACTCTGATTTGCAAGTGACTGAAGTTGCTCTTTTATAAGTAAAGGAGATGACTGTGAGCCTTGTGAAGGAATCTGACTGAAAAGGAGCACATGGGTGCTGTCTGCTGCTTTCGGTGAGTGACTAAAGATGATTACTGCTTTTGATTGTGGAGAATTGTCTGTTGATGAATAGTGAACAGTAAATTTGACTTTTTTCATTATTCATTGCTTTCGGTGGAAGCATGTGACTAATAGGAAACTAATATAAATACAAAACAGCAGCTTTTCTCAAAAGAGAGTAGTGATTGAAGCTAATTTGTACAAATATAAAATTCAATGGCTGACTATTTAAGCATATAGGTCCTGAGCATCTTGAAATTGGGACCCATAAGGATCATTATTGGTTGAAACCTCGGAGGAGCTGGATGCTTTAGAAGTTTCATCTTCAATATGTGACTTGGCTTGGGCCATTAAACTATTAGCCATTTGGATCAATTCATTACTGGATGACTTGGGCTTCGCTTTGGGCTTTGACTGAGCTGAGTTGGATTTGGATGACTTGGGCTTGGAAGAGCTAGTTGTTGGGCTTCCAAGTCTGACTGTTGGAAGTGGGCTGCCCTGTGTGACTGAAACAGTTGGGTTTTGCTGAGCTTTGACCATGGCGGGAGTTGGAGCATGAGAATTAATTGGAAATTCTTCTTGGACTTGTTCAATAATTCGATGAGATTTAAATGTATCTCAACATTTGACAAAATGAAGTCTGGTGACTATATTTTCAGAAATAGTATATTGCTATTTGAAAAACTAAGGGACTTTGTATTTGGACATAAAAATAAGTAATAAAGGAAATTGACTTTGATGCTGACTAAGTTTATAGACAGAAGAGAAGTAGTGAACTTGTTCCATTAGTGCAGATGGAATGATCACAGAAATGGCACCATGATTAGATTACCATTTGAGAAACCATGTAGGAATTGTTGACTTGAATTTGTGATCAAATTGGAAGAACAAAGAGTGAGTATATGACTCATTTTGATGTAAAAGGATTTTGAACCAAGCATCTATATAATCAAAATAACTATACTGGATGGTGTGACCAGGTAAATCGCGGAGTTGAAAAGGGAGACCCCATTCATCAAGAGAAACAATATTATGAATATATAATGAATGGTAAATGATTTTACTGGTGTAGGTTCGATCATAAATGGGTTTAATGACAATTGATTGATGATGAAATAGAATATCTTTGTAGAAAGCAATTGACTTTTCTGGATGAAGTGGAAAAAAATGCCATCCAGGAGGGAAATATGATTTAACTAGGTCAAGAACATTATGAATATTCTTGTGAATAGGTTCTTTGAAGAATAAGTTAATAGACTGGGATTTAACATAATCAATTCTGGCTATTTTGAGGGATTGGGAGGAAAAGGAGTAAGTGACTGAGAAGAGGAAGCAAATCGGTCGGTAGCAAGTGCAGAAGTATAACTAGGTTTAGGAATATTACCAAGAACTTGGTAACGATTGGCCAAATCAACTGGAGGAAGAGCAATAGGTTGACTGGCTAGAATAATGGCCTTGCTGGGAGGTTTCTGGGATTTTTGACTAGACATCTGTAAGAGAATAAACAAAATTTAGCAACCACTGTGGATATCTAATTTGTTCAAATGGTAATGAAGGCAATTAGTATAATGAGTAAGTAAATTACGACGATTGATAATTTGATGAAATTGTATGAATTGTGCACGGCAAGTAGTTTTGCGAGCTGTCTTAAGGCAAGCAATACGGTAAGCAGTTTGGTAAACAAATTTTCTATAATAGGTGACTTTTAATTTATGGTAGGAAATAAAAGGAGTTGCCATCCCTATCCCCCCTGTAAAAATTCTCGGGTAAGGAAATCAGGAATAGAATTTTGACTACCAAGTATATATTCAATATCAAAATAAAAAATACTTAAAATAGATTGCTATCGGGCAAAAATATGTTTACTAGCAATATTTTGAATATCTTTTTCTAAAACATATCTAGCACTTTTACTATCAACATGTAGTAAAATTTTTTGATTTAAAATATTGCCTTGAAATTTACTAATACATAAAATAATAGATAAAATTTCTTTTTTAATAGTACTATAATTTGTTTGTGCTTTGTTCCAAACACTAGAATGAAAACGAACAATTTGTTCAAATGACTGGGAAGTGATTTTCTGAAGGAGGATACCACCATAACCAATATCAGAAGCATCAGTTTGAATAATTTTGAAAGAATTTCCAGTAGGAATACCAAGACAGAGTAAAATCTTGACATATTTTTTGATTTGTTGAACAATAGCAGTATAAGTAGAAGACCAAGGAGGAGGATTATCTTTCAACCGATCAAAAATGGGTTGACAAGTTTTCCTAAGGTCTTTATAAAATTCAGCAATATAGTTTAAAGAACCTGAAAATCGTTGTAAGTGGGTTTTGTCTAAGATTTTGTCAGGGAACTTAGAAGCAAATTC